GATGGATGGATGGATGAATGAGTTAGTTAGTTAAACGAGCCATTTTCTCACTAAACAAATACCCCACATTAATTAGATCAAGATTGGCGGTGCAAAGTATGGGGACAAAAGACTGTTTAAGGGTCGTGTTTCATGTCTCCAAATATTCAACAAAGCGCTGACACAAGCACAAGTACTGGCAGCCAGGACAAGATGTGTCGAGAAAAATGGTGAGTTAAATTCTGCCTAAATAATATTGTCGTTTGTGTGGTCATCCATATTTGGTAAGCTCACCTTATTAGAAAGTAAACGTAGATTCTCATTTTGGTGATCTGCCTGCCATTAAAAGTTTTAAAATGCCAAAACCATTAATTAAAACTTGTAGATATTTGTAGATAAGCTTATAAATCTGGCTTTTTACAAAGTAAGCAAGAAATGTCTACAATTTCGAATACTGCGCAAACAACATTGAAAATAATTAAAAGGATAAAAAATAAACATTAGGAAGAATAAATGAGCGGAATGGGATGAGATGTTACTAAAACGAAGAATAGATAGGTAGAGGTGGTAGGGGTGGCATCGAATTACATTTAATGGTAAAATAGATGGGAGGATAGAATGGGATGGCGTGTAATGGTGTTGAATTTCAATGAATGGATAAAAAGATGGGAGGGAGAAAGGAAGGTATTGAATGACTATGAGTGGACGAACCGATGGGTAGATGGAATAAGGTGGTATTGAATTACAAAAAAAGATACGTTAATCGAAGTATTATGATCATCCGGGTGGATGTAGTCCTGAGAAGGACAGTTTGATGTGACTGACGTTTCGACAACCTGAGCGGAAGTCATCTTCAGAGTCAAGTGAAGAATAAAGTCAGATTGGTCATATTTATACTGCCACGATAACAATAGCCTAATTACCTGGCGGCATCGGTCTAAGGAGTGCGAGTAAGCCGACAATGAGGACTGGACGGGATTTCAAGTCCAAGCAATTAGTTTTTTACTAATTGCGCGGTTTTGAAATCCCGTCCAGTCCGATATTGGAGGCTTTGAAATGACTTCTCATGCTCATTAATTATTCCACTTGGAGTAGGACTGAACTAATTTTGTTCCAGTTACTTCAGACTGAATTCAGTCCTTTCACAGCACTTTGACAGGTTTCAAGTAACATCATGTGACCCAAAAATAGCCCATCGATTGCCTGGTTTCCTCATGAATTATTAATGAGTATGCGAAAGTGTTCTATTAGTGTTTTATTTTTCTTTCTTTGTTGGTCATTTTATTGTACAATATTTAAATTACATAGTTCTTTGTTTTCACACCTTTTTATACTCATTATTTTTCGTGTATATAAGTTAACGTTTTCTCGGTTTTTATCACTTGATAATGACGTTCAGTTAACGTCATCAGTTAATTTCATCATCAAAAGTGACACGTGATCTGAAATTGGTAAAATATCATGGCTAGATGGATTAGAGCCACTTAACCCAATATATCTGAAAAACACACTTGCAACTCAAACTATTTTTTGTCATTTGTCTGTTTTATTCAGACTACACATCTTGTTTCCAATGCGTCTTTCTCGACGATCCAACAAGAGCCCTCAAATCTAATGTCAGCGGTCAACCAGCAGATAGACAGGCCCTAGTTCGAAGACGATGGTATCGACTGAAAAGTGAAGCTGGTACAAGAATCGTAACTTCCTGTCCAGCCCCAGGTTCCTGTGGAGCCCAGTCTCCAGGATGGCTCAACGGTCAATATCCATCGTTAGAGACTGGGATAAAGAAGATGGAAATATGTTACCGTTCAGGATCAAACTGCTGTGCTAATAAGGCAACTGTGTATGTAAGACAGTGCTATGGGTACCCTGTGTTCATGCTTGACGATGTACCAGATATCAGCCTTGGTAATCGTGTCTGTACAGGAACAGGTGAGTAAGACAGTGTTATGTGTACACTGTGTTGTGCCATGTACTAGATATAAGCCTCGGTAATCTTGACTGCACAGAAACAGGTGAGTACAACAGTGTTATGGGTACCCTGTGTTGTACCATGTACCAGATATGAGCCTTGGTAAACGTGTCTGTACAGAAACAGGTGAGTATTATAGTGTTATGTTTATTCTGTGTTGAACCATGTACCAGATATCAGCCTTGATAATCGTGCCGGTACAAAAACAGGTAAGACAGTGTTTGGGTACCCTGTGTTGTACCATGTGCCAGACTTTGGTAATCTTGTCTGTACAGAAACAGGTAAGTAAAACAGTGTTATGTGTACACTGTGTTGTACCATGTACTAGATATCAGCCTTGGTAATCTTGTCTGTACAGAAACAGTAGGATAAAACTGTTATGTACCCTGTGTTGCATCCTGTGCCAGACTTTGACAAAGGTAAATATTAGATAAATTTTGCAGTACAGAAAAAACAAACTAACCTCTGCTCTCTCTTTTTCTAAAGATCAAGAAAGCATTTTTCCAAACGCAATGTTCCAGTCAACCAATGAAAAGTGTTTATCCGGTCACGTGATTTATGCTGAAATCAATGTGGTCGAAGCGTCTGTCTGCATTGGGTACTGCCTGAGTGCTGGGAAGAAATGCGAGTCTGTTAACTTCATCCAGCTTGACAATGGAACCTGTCAACTCAATAACGCTACCGCCATAGAGTTTCCACAGCATGTTAATGCTAACAGTAGCTGTACGTATTATCAAAGCAACACAGCATTAATGTCTTACGTTATGCCATAAAATATAAAATATAATCTTGCTGAAATGTATTCTCCAGCTCCTCCAGCTTAAGTTCTGGCTGGTATTCTACCAGCAAAAGAAGCACCGGGAATATTGAAAAGTTTGAAAAGTTCTTCAATCCAATCATTCAAGAATGAACTGAAAACTCATTTGTTCAAGAACTTTGTCTCCTCTGGTTCAAAGTGAACATCAATGAACTATGACATTTCATTAATATTGTTTTCAACATACGTCTAATATTTATTATTTCTTTTATTGTGAAGCGCCGTGAATTTTGATATGTGCGCTATATAAGGTCCATTACTATTATAATTATACAGTTTCTCATTCATCCCATATAGTTAACTGTCCAATAATTTTCTTAATTGCACAGGTCTTGTTGATATGGGATTAATTAGGCAGCTATATAATTAATAGGTAATGGGATTTCAAGCTTCCCAATCAAGAAATAATTAGACTCGAAAAATTCCTCTGACTGCCAAATTGGACTCGGCCTACGGCCTCATCCAACTTTGGAAATCCTCGGAATATTTCTTGTCCAATTATTTCTTAATTGGACAGCATGGAGTCCTATTACATATACTTATTATTATTGTTATTATCATTATTATTGCTATTTATTAATATTTTGTTCTTTTAATTACGTTAATGACATTGACTGTATATTATTATAATGTGCTTTGATTATCCTGAATTCTAACAGTGCATCTTATTTAAAGATTTTTAAAGTCTTTAGTCTATTACGGCCGAAAATAAAGCAGTGTTATTTTTTCCGGTCCGGTTTCCTAAAAAATCGTGCGTTCTGATTGGCTGTTTGAGCATGCGGTATTTTGTCAGTAACTGCCCGCGCTCGCGGTCCGTTATCTTTGCCGGTAACAAAACGATTGCAAAAACAAGTAAAAAAATACGGGAAAAAATAAATAAGTTATTTACCGTCCTATAGTCGGTCTGGATAGGGAAAAACTGTGCCCTCGGTCCGTATATTCAAGACCTCGGGCACAGTTTTTCGGTATCCGGAACTCCTGGCCGGCAAATACTATATGTATATTTTTGGTTTCGGAGGATGTTGGAGGAATTACACTGGGAACACCTGTACAAGAGGTATGAAGAAGATCGCTCTCGTGTATGGTGGCCCAAAAAGGGCTAGGAAATTGAGGAGGTGGTTTGGGTTTGCACAAGTTTTCAAAGTATTAGAAACACCCTAATAGCTTGCGCACCTTTTATTTCATGGAATACGCCCACAAGACTATTCCGGATTATTCATAATTACTCTTTTTAAGAAAGACAAGGAATACTTATAATTCGTAGTTGATAGCGTATCACACGACCTCTTCAACCGCTGAGCGAACGGAGAAGGACTTGCGGTTGATTTGATTTTGATTGAAACATGCTTGAATTTTAGTAAGATAACACATGCCTGATCTCAAAATTTGTTAAATCCGTCGTAGCCTAGGAGACTTTACTACAAATTACTTTCCCTATAGTTCCCCTAGTTTCCAAACACAGAGACTTGATTCGAATTAAAGATACGCACGAGAACTAGTAGCTTAGCCAATAAGAACGCATAATATGCAGTAATCTACTACTTTGAACGATCAGAGGATAGAATAAGTTTATTATGATATTAACTTAATTATAAGTAAATGTTAAATATACGAAATAAGCATAAAGCTGCAAATAGAATGCTATGCGGCTATAGACGCTAGAATAATTCTACGTGTTGAATATATATCCAGTTTTGAAAGCAAATGACCCGTTTCAGTCAAAATCTTCATCATTAGTCGCTACTACAGTAATACTGAAAACTGCATGATTTAACCCTCCAGACACGGATAGCGTATCGCTATTTCCTGGTTCTGGCGGAACCTTGAAAATGGTAACTAGTGAACTGAGTGCTCAGAATACAACCTGGTCTGAAGTCATAGGCTTGGGCTTGCTCAAAGGCTTAGGATTACAAATTATCGAATATATTAGAGTCGTTTTCATATGACCGTGCATAGGAAATAGACCATTTAGTGCGTAGCAGTGTGTAATAGTTGGTAATAGACACAAGGAGACTAGAGTAGTCTAATTTTATTCTCAACCACCTTATTGTCAACAGTTTCTYTTGTGTTTTAATTTCGTTAAATTACACTTTATTACACGTTATTTCAACGAATTTACAAGGGAGAATTTTATATTAATCATGTAGCTATAATAAGTAAAATGAACGACAAAGACAAGAAATCATGTAGCTCCCATTGATTACATTTGTTAATTTACATCTTG